GCGTACGAAAGTTGCACTACCAAGTCGCCAGTTCTCATCTTCCAGCTCCCCAGATACTCCCCGTACTAAAATTGTACTACAAAGTCGCCAGTTCTCATCTTCCTCATCTTCCAGCTCCCCCGATACTCTGCGTACTAAATGTTGTACTACAAAGTCGCCAGTTCTCAGCTTCCCGCTCCCCAGATACTCCGCGTACTAAAGTTGTACTACAAAGTCGCCAGTTCTCAGCTTCCAGCTCACCAGATACTCCCCGTACTAAAGTTGTACTACCAAGTCGCCAGTTCTCAGCTTCCAGCTCCACAGATTGCTCCGCGTACTAAAGTTGTACTAGCGAGTCGCCAGTTCTCAGCTTCCAGCTCCACAGATTGCTCCGCGTACTAAAGTTGTACTAGCAAGTCGCCAGTTCTCATCTTCCAGCTCCCCAAATCGCACTCTCGTCTGCATTTCGCGCACTCGACACGCACGATCTCCGCAGAGGGTTGCGCGCGCACCGGACAGATCGCACTCTCGTCTGCATTTCGCGCACTCGACACGCACGATCTCCGCAAAGGGTTGCGCGCGCATCGGACAAATCGCACTCTCGCCTGCATTTCGCGCACTCGACACGCACGATCTCCGCAGAGGGTTGCGCGCGCACCGGACAAATCGCATCAAATCGCACTCTCGCCTGCATTTCGCGCACTCGACACGCACGATCTCCGCAAAGGGTTTTCTGGGGACCGGACAAATCGCACTCTCGCCTGCATTTCGCCCACTCGACACGCACGATCTCCGCAGAGGGTTGCATTTTCGGTTGACGCTGTTCGTCCCACCCTCCGCCTTTAAAAGAGAATTTATTAAAAAGTGGGGCAATGTTTTTCATTAGGACATCTCCCGTGAAAGTTTTCCATACTCACACTTGCATGCTTGTTCCATACTCACACTTGCATACTTGGACTGGGATTGCACTGGGATACTTACACTCGCCTTACACTTGCATACTTTTGCACTTGGATACTTACGCTTGCATACTTGCCCTTGCATGCTTCAACTCTTACACTTACACTGGGATACGTATAGAAGTGCAAGTGTTCAAGTGTAAGTGTAGAAATGTCAGTGTTCAAGTGCAAGTGTGGAAGTGTCAGTGCGTAAGTGTAAGTGTAGAAGTGTCAGTGTTCAAGAGATTTTCCGGAAGAACCCTTCGCAATGCTTTCGGGAAAAAGGAAACACGCCAACTCTCCATGCTTCCAAACTGAACCTTCTGCCGGGCATGGCCAAAAAGCAGAAAATACACTCTCCGAGGCACGTGGAGGGCGGCAAACCCACCCAGTGAGCGCCTATTCGTTCCCAGGCCATCAAGGGATCTCTCCATGGACAGCCTTAACAGTGTGACAGACCACCGAGATCGGTGGTGGCATTGGCGTCCTCCGAGAACAGGGTACTTCCGCTCAGGTTCCAATGGAATGGGGAACCCCCCCAAAAATGCATCCTTGTTTCTGCCTAAGGGAGCAACATGTTCCCTTTCCGCGTCAGTGGGTTGGAAGTGCTGTTGACGTCCCTTACATCCCTTCAGCTGGTCCAGGTGATGTGTTCTTTCTTGGAGTTTCAAGGATCATCAACATGATCAGGCTGGTACATCAAATGATGCATCCCTCAAGGTGTTCTCAAGACACGGCCACATGCAACCACGCCGCAATTTGCTCCCTGCTGATGTGCCATAGGCCAGTGGGAGTCATTGAATGCAACCTCAGCCATCCACCGTCGTTGTAACATCAAGGAAGGGAAGCAAGCTGATGCAGTGCCGCGGAGGCCTTGTAAGATTTACTACAGGGTAGCGGGTACGTTATGGATGTGAAGAGGTATGGCATAAGGAACCGACATTGACTCCTTTTCAATCACCCCAAATCGTAGGTGACAGTCCCATGGGGTGTCTGGGAAGGAACAGTCATGAACAGTCCCAAACTTTTATAGACGTTGACTTCACGGTTCACTGCACTCTGCGCCCGAAAGCTCAACAGAATCGTTACTGTCACCAGTGGGTGGTTTCGTCCAACATTGCCTTGGTATGCCATAGGCCATAGGCGATTTGCTTCAGGGGCTGGCAAAGCAACATTTGGCTTTCTGTCAGGTTGCTGGAAAAACTACACAAATACGCCAGATCAGGTCACGGTTTTATTTTATAATCTTAGGTAACTAGACGGTTTGGATCTTCGGTAGCTAGACGGTTTCCTTCGGAAACGAATCTTCGGTAACTGGACGGTTTTCTTCGGAAACGATTCTTCACAATACAACCGGCACAATCCGTGGAATACAAGCGACGCGGGCGAAACTCATTGGATGGTTCTAACCACATCAAACACACAAAAACACATTCGTCGCGACCGATCTTCGTTGCTGCCACACTGCCATCTGAAATGGTGTCCTCTGATCATCGGTGCTCTCTCTTTGAGTGGAACACCTGAAAGCTGATGTACTCATGGTACCGAAATCCGCCACCAGGATCAAGCCAACATACGCAGGGTACTCCTGGGCACGGGTGGAGCCAAGGCTGGCCAATCCATATGGAATCAGGCCACTAGAAGGAGAAGGTGCTCCATGGACATTTTGGAGTACTTTAATGGATCACACTGAAGTCTCGGCAGCTGCATGAGGTGTGTGGGAAATGGGTCCAGTGCCTTGTTTGTAGCATCTATCATTCACCTTGACACTCCTCTTCATGCTATCCCTAGGCAAAACAACACCTTCACGAGCTGGCTCCGAATCAAAGACTATTCCTTGGCCAGGCTCAATGTTTCGGCCTAAAGCGTCAGTCACGTTCACCAATGCAGCATGTCGGCTATTCACCTGGCGGCCGCTTCTGAATCGCTTCTATCTTGCGGATGGAGGACTGGCACAAACCTTCAGCGATAACATGCGATAACACTAAGGCTGTGCGCTTGTTGGGGGAGGCGATGCACCAGCATGGCAGCGGTGGCTGCCACGAGAATCTAAGATGGCCTATGGTGAAACAATGTCCACAAAAAGCTGCTGAATACGCTTCGTAGGGTCATCATGGTCATCCACTGCAACAGCTGTCCTGCTCTTGAGACCTTGTGACGTTATATATAGTTTTCCCTACATGTTGCAAATGATATTATTGTTTGTCCGATCTACTCCTCAGATTCCGCAAGAACCCCTCTCAGAAGGTCAACGGATGACTGGGTGGACTCTGTGCACGCATCCAACAAAGGAGATCATCCCCCTAGTAGCGCCCTTGCTCCTAGTAGCGATGCCAGGAGCCCCTAGTAGCTTCTTGTTCCTAGTAGTAAGGCCAGGAGCCCCTAGTAGCGTCCCTGCTCCTAGTACATCTACGAAACACCTCCGCCCCTATAGCCTTTTCGTCAACTAACGAAACGCCAAGCCGAATTGATATCAGTCTAATTATATTATAATTACAAGGAATGCAGCTCTACGGTAGCTATCAGTAGCTCTTGTTTGACTTGCAAGTTAGGCCAAAAACTGGGCCATTTGCCCCTGGTCATGCAAGTTTGGTCGTTTAACCGCATGAAAACCGCCAGCGCGCCTGAAACGCTAGCACATCTGCAGCCATGAGGTCTCTACCTGTCCTGTAGATCCGAACGGTGGTCTCCCCCATGTTCATGCGGCGGACGCTATTCATCGGCAGCACGGGGGAGGACGTATCCGGGAAAAGCTCCACGCCATTGACATAGAATGCCTAGGAGCAAACCACGGCCGCCACAAACACAATGCGAACACATCACTCTGCAAATGTGGAACTTTCATGGAAGTGGAAAATGGTTCCAAGGATGACCATTTTCCTCTACAAACTGGTGGTTTTCCACTTCCCTGACAATTCCAAGTCTACCCTATCTACCCCCCAAACAAGAAAAAGCTTACTGTACTTAGGTTCAGCATTTCGCAAGCGATGCTTGGGGACTTCATTACCCGCCCATGCGAGTGCATGCCCAACACAAGGCATGTTCTGGAACAATGATAATGATTGTAGATTGCGGTCTGTATTGTCATTACGATGATCCCATAGGTGACAAAGGCCCCCCGTTACATACAGGATCCGGGCAGCAACATCTTTGCGAAGGCCAAGTTGCAACATCAGTATCAGCTTGAACCACCAGCACCTCACCCCTGTACAAAGCGGCCTGGCAAGCAAAAAACAAGGCCACTAAAAAATGCATGCCAGACATCCCTCCGCCAAATCCACCACGCTCTCGTCGCAAGTAACGCTTTCCGGTCGGACGCGCCTGGTCCAAGAGGAAAAGAAGAAGCGCAGTGCAAAAAGCCCGGAGGCGATGACCAAAGGTCATCTTTTCTGCCTGCTGTTGGAGGTGAAATTGGCCACATATGGCCTCCGACGCTACAAGTACACTGCAAAGGGATCTTAAGCACAAAATGTTATGAATGAATCTAGCTGGTATTCTCACATCACCTACCTAACCTCTACGTTTTTACCACCCAAAAATAAACTACAGTATATACACTTCTGACATCCGCTGAGAGCATCAACCTGATTTCCTTAAAGTTCCAGTTCCAGCATAAGAGCTCAGCTGCCTCAATCTATCTCCAGGTGTTGTCACTCACTCCATCTGGTAACCAGAGGATGTGACCACGGACTGCACGAGCGACATGCAGAACCGGGGTGATGCACTCTTCCTAGCCTACAGCTGGAGCAGCAACGGACAACAAGCCTTGCCGAACTCTGCGCGAAGCATCACTTGAGACGTGTCTAGAGTCTAGATGCCCCCCATGAAAGCGAGCATTCGCTCAGGTTGCCAACTTGTGACCTCCCTATCGTTGCACAATCATGAATATCCACACAACATCACACAACCCCCAACTCCATGGTTCTGTAGAGAAGGAGGCTGTCAGCAGACACACGGGCACACCATACAATGACCAGTACCACCCTCGTGGCGTCCAGGTCCACGTTAACAATCAAAAAGTGTTATGACTCTCCGATCCCGTCCACAAGGCGCCGCGTCTTGAGCTGCCCTTGGGTGCCGGGCGAAGGGAAAATCCCAAGCCCAAATCGCTCAGAACTTGCCTTGGTGTTCAGTCGGGGGCGACCCCCTGGAGATCGAGGCGTGGGATGTTCAGATTTGGTACGGAAAGGTGAGCGGGCTTTTCAAAGGGTTCATCCGTTCATCTTCCCTCCACAGGGTGCACCAACAAGCCCCGAGGAAGATTGGTTGACCTCAACGCTAAGATGCATCCTGAAGGCCTAGTTTCGAGAAGGCAATGCATAAACATATATAAACTATTGAGACAAGGGGCTGAGGAAAAAAAACAGGCCTTCGGACTCTTCAGATGGTTCATTGTCAATGGACACTTGACAACAGTGAATGGACGGAACACAATCAGTCTCCCTTGGTCAACGCTCCAGAAACTCTGCCGAAGGTGCTCCACACACTCGCAAGCTCTGAGGCAGTCTGCTGCCATTTTATGCCTAAGCATGTGTGAGACATTGGCAGAACACGCACAACTATATTACGCTTTGAACCTGGGCACTAGGGGACTTTGAACCACTGCATGTTCTATTTTGTTGGGGCATATCAGCGGTGGGAATGGCTGGCATCAGGGAAATGGAGACAAACTGAGTCCAACCCTGAAGTGACAAACAGCCCCTGTGAAGTGGCCGACGTGGCCATCTAACAATAAGTCTTCCAGTGTTACCGTGTTCCACGTTCAGTGTCATCAATTGTGCCCCTGGATTGGCGCCTGCCGCGGAGGTTCATCTGCGCAGCAGATTCCACGACCTCACAGGCAAGATTTCAACATCCAGTCACTATTCCATTATATATATAGCTGATGCCAAATTATGCCAGGCCCCAGTTTTGATGGGAGACATTCTGGCTACAAAGCCGAAAAATGATGTCCCGTTCAATCTCCTGCAAGCTGGTGCATGAAATTGCTTCAACCATGGCACAAGGCACACAACTCGCGGGAGAAGGACGGTACAATTTCACCAACAAGCCTATCAATCGGACCATGCCAAACCAACGTCCCAAAACACCACGGCCAAGGAATCAGGCTGCGCGTGCCCGGGAGATACGGACACAATCCTTGGTGCCACATGGCGTTACGTGGTGCTCCGAGGCTGGACATCAAACATCTTGTTATATCATGATCATACAGCTCAGAAATGCGACGTAATGCGACACTCAGAATTGCATCTTTGGGATGCTCCACACATCTGCCCGCATATCGTTTACGTCTGCAGCGCACGATGGTATAAGATGGAATGATAGAAGGAACAAGTTTCCGGTCACACATGTGTTGCCGGCCCGAAATGCTGAAAATCCCCATATGACAAAAGAACAATCTCCACTCTTCTGCCTTGACTTGGCCTTTGGGCTTTGTGACTCTTCATTGGCTTGGCCTCCAACCCCACCGAAGACATGCTGCAGGATGGTTCGGTTGACGTTTTCGCCTTGATCGGTGAGACAGCACGGGAGGTCCAAAACTACGGGTGACTCCCATTTTGATGCAAAGATTGCAATGGCCGTCATCACCTGCTCATCTGATCAAGCATTTGTTAACTTGTTAGGCTTGATGGTGGTATTTTGATGTACTTGCTGGAGAATGAATGAAGCCACCAAAATCCCTTGCAAACTAAGCATACTTCCCGTAGCAGGTGGTCAGGGTTTTCTGCTATCTGGCACGAGACAAGGAACCATAAGAAACCTAACAAGGCTGACCTCGACAGGTTTCCAAGAGCCAAATCCTATCTTGCTTCCTATCTAGTTCAGTTCAGGTCAGGTCAACAAAATTATCATGTTGCGTTTAAGGCCAGAACATCCGCAGTGTCAAGGATCTTGATTATTGATCTTGGCCGTCAACCCTGGGTCAACTAAATCATCTAATTTGTTTGGGGAGTGCTCAACCGAACCCTGATCTTTTGCACAATGATGCACAAAACTCTGAGGCATTCGATCGGGCAAACCCCCAAGGGATGTAGTCATACATCTAATCATACACCCAACACGTGAAGCTTAGCCACCTCAAAATTGGCCCTTCTGGGGGCCGAAGCTTCTTAAAACCTCCATCATCAGTGATCTCGCTGCCTGCGCCATCCACAGTCACGCTCACGGAAGGGATTGATGGAGCAATGCCGCTGCGAACAGCTTCAACATATGAGGGACAAAACATGTCAGATTCACTTCGAAACCCTCCAACACCATGTGACACTGGGGTATTATGATATAACTGATGATATATAGTATTGGCTTTCTGTTAGTCAGTGTCAAGCAGTGTCATGGGGTCATGTGCTTGTCATCCTTCGGCCCGACACCTCTTTCACCGGGTACGGGAATTATAGTAGTTGTCGGTCGTGTCAGTGTCGCCCACTGGCCCGGTCATTCATACCCCGAAAAGTTGTGATTACTCAATGTGGAATCCTGTAAATCATTGCGCAGTCTTTTTGGCGATCCTGACCTGATCGCAGGTCTACGCCTGAGGTCAGAAGCCCCTTCCAGGATCTAGCGGGACCAGCTGGCGCTGTAGAACACCGAGACCATCATCGCATCGTCTTCCACTCCACTGAGCAAAGAAGAAACACTCTAGGTCCAACCTGTCGCACCCCCGGCCCAAACAATCTTGGCACCTGCCCCTGCACAACGGCCGTCATATCGTGGAGCTTTCATCTGGGGAACCTCTCCCTGCAATGTCGCGTCCCAAGCGCTTCGGGTCCGTCGACGCCTCGATGTGGGAGAAGAGATCCAAGACGATGCCTGGCGGCCAGGGACCGCCGGGGACCAAGGACTTGACGACGATGATGATGATGATGATGATGATGATGATAGCTGATGTATACATATACATATACATATATATATATATGTGCATGCATACACACAAGTATACTATATACACCTGCCTTTTGGCAGCTCTGTGTGTGTACATATAGCTGGGACCGTGTCTTCCTTATGACATATTTAATATGAGGACAACTTTGGCCCACAACAACTCCGGAATCACCACAGTTGAGTAACAAGAAGCAAGGGCATCGCTACTAGGAGCAAGGACGCTACTAGTGGCTCCTGGCCTTACTACTAGTAACAAGAAAGCTATGAGTTAAGTGTGCTTTGGACATCAGGTCCCACCCCACCAGCCCCCGCCGCCTTGAAAGCGTACGGCATTTCGTGTGGGATCGGCCGCATCGGCCTCACCGCGGCCCGTGCGATCAGCCGTGGCTGGAAGATGCGGACTGCTGTAATCTGCTGTAGGTAGGACGCTATTAGGTGGAGGCCATTGCAATTAGGTTGGCCATACTAGATGCCACTAGTAACAATTAAGGTGGTATATAATTGCAAACAATTCAATGTATTGAGTATGATTAGGACTCCAAATAGGTTGTGGACTGTCTCATCGCACCAGGAGGGGTCGCGTTTTTGGGGAAACTAACGCCCAAAGAATTGGCATGTTTCCTTAGCCGGCAAGGGGTGGAGTTTCACTGAGAGTGCTTGGGCATATCGAGTTCCATTCAATCATGCAGGTTAAAGGTCATGTCATATCTGGCCTCAGGAGCAACATCTGTAATTAAGAAAGAACGGATTTTAAAGCCTGTGGAACCGTGGGCCGGAATTTCGGACCATACCCCATGGAACACTACAATTAGAGTTGTGCATTCAACTGATTGAACCTTGTGCTGAAGCTCCTGAACATTGATGGTGCTGCACTTTCTAGACTTCCCCTAGGAACGTGGGCACAAAGCTCCAACGCGGCTGACACAGCTTGCCTCTGGAAAGCTCGGTTTGATACTGAGATATTCCGTAGCGAGCCATCAATGTTTCTTGAGGCCAGTTTGAAAGTTCAATCGCAACGTTTTCTGTACAAGGTATATTCACTAGCCGCAGCCTTAGATTGTCCTCATTCTTCTTGAAATGGTCTTAGACTTATGTGCATGTATCAATGGCCATAACCTTGTTTAGTGCATTCTATCCACACTATTAAGTGGGTGCATGCATGCGAATGCGGGCTGCAATATTCACCCCCATGGATGATGACAGTGCTGCACAACTTGTACAGTAATTCGGCTATGTGCTGCCCATGGAATGAAGGGCAAGACATAGCATGTCTGCCAGTCTTTGTGCCTATGTCCTGTAAGACGTCTGTGAGGGTTTGCCCCCTCTCTGGCCGCTGATGCTCGCCTTGGAAAGAGCAATCTCAAGTTTGGCCAAGATGGCGTCAAAGGCCTCCACAGGTGCAAGGCTGGCAGGAACCAAATGGAGGGCAATCCTTTAATGTCCCCTGGCTGGCTGAAAGCGCCGCAAGAAATATGCACGAACCATAGGACTTTTATTGAGTTTTGCAGAGGCAGTCCAGATCTGATTAACCATGATTAAACCTTACTCCTGGAAGGCTATGCATGTGAAGGACACTGATGTTGGACCAGCGATCACAGGTTGCCCCATGTTCATGCAGCCATGGGCACCCATGCACTCGCAGGTTTGGACGGAAGAGGCTGAATACAAGAGTTAAATAAATAAAATTAACTCCAGTGTTAATGCTTTAGCTTTTACACTTGTTCAACCTCTAACTCTAGAAGACTTAACTCTGGAGTTAATTCTGTCAACTTTGCCACGTGTGCAAATAGAGAATCAACTCTGGAGTTAATTCTTTTTCACTGTGTCTCCTTGTTTCCTTCTCTGTGTCTATCTCTTTCTTTTCTTTTGTTGTCTTGTTCATTTGTATTGAGTTCTATAGCCACCTAAAAGGAATTAACTCTTGAGTTAATTCTTTTCCACTGCGTCTCCTTGCTTCCTTCTCTTTGTATAGCGCATTCTTTTCTGTTGTTTTCTTTTTCACCTTTAGCTGTATTGAATTCTAGGCCGGTGACAGGGGATTAGGAAGATAAGAAGATTGGACAAACTAGCCACCAAAAAAGAGTTAACTCTGGAGTTAAGAAAAATTAACTCTGGTATTCACTCCATTTCGGTTTGGACCATGATACTCCAGGGGTTAGGCCGCCATACAGCCATACACGAATTATTGCACAATTTGCACTCACAAGGAATATGATATTTCCACCCCATCCTTAATCTACTGTACTTAACCATCCATTCTTCGAGCTCTTGATCGATCTATTCCCCTCGGACGTCGGGGTTTCGTTGTGATTCACCCCGTGTCGCCTCGGCAGACCGGGCTTCTTCTTTCGCCTGGCGGAACACATCGAGTTGGGGGCCGTCCAAGCCTAGACACGACTAATGACTAATGGGCAGTGCCAGATATTTGCCCATCTATTGGAGTGGTTTGGGGTCAAATTTAGACCATCTATTCCGTAGAGTGCCGGGACAGGTTCCCTCTTTGGGGTCCGGGTCGTGGCCGGAAAGTGAACATTTTTTGCGTACCTCAGATGCTGCGGAATGATTGGTGGCCGAAGGGAAGAACATGGGAGAAGGCTTGGAGAACACATGATTGACCCTTGTATGATGAAAAGGTGGGAAAATGGACTCCAAACTGTGACCGAACTACCCGCCATTGAGCGGAACAAATAACATCGAAATCAAAGAAACTATCAACGAATATGTGTACCTCGCGTGCGCCTGCCGGATGTGACCTTTTCGGGTGATGTCCTATTCCGGCCGACCGGTTGGGTGGTGGATGCAGTGGAGTCATTGTTTTTTTAGGCGAGGTCCGGTGGCACACGGCTCACATGCAAATATGGCGAGGTGGAAAAGACCCTGGTTGCTCAAGGAGACTTAGTCTTCCTGGAAGGGCCCTGAGAGTCTTCCTGGGCATGTTCTAAGATTATGATTATATATGATTATATGTATGCAACCATGTGGTGTTTATGGAGCGATGTTTTCCAGCTCGGCGCCGAAGATCGACGCCTTGGCTTCCAGTGGAGTGTTTTTAGTGGTTTTAGCCCGGCGGTGGGCGTGCTGGGCGGCACTGGGAGGCATCTTAAGGTTTTTGCAGTCATATGTTGTAATGGGTCCCTACCTTGTGGTTGCTACGGCAGCCAAGGACACCACTGGTTGTACCAGAATCTTTCTCAGCCAGGACTACCCCAAATGTGTTTGTTTGCATTGACGGACTTCTCGAATCAATTCAATAGCAGACTTGACGAATAGGAATAGAGCGGTTTCTCCGCGTGGCTGTTGGATGCTGTTGGCCTGTGGATCGTCGATATCGTCACCAAGAAACAAGGTATAGCAAGTTCAACCTTTAATCCTAGCACCCTACTTATTTGACCCCTGTCCATCAAAAGTTCTTCATTTTGCCTCCCACGGTCACTTGAACAAGTGCTCACTCAATCTCTTGCTTGCCCATTGCCTTCAATCCCGATTTGCCTAAGTCGAGTTCGAGTTATTCCCTGAAAGAATCTATGCTGCTTGTAGGTCATACTGTCATACTGATCCTGTTTTCTCCTATGGCTTTCACGCGTGAGGCAACCTTGTCGCAGTGCGGACACGATCGAACACGCCCACACCCGCGGCCTCTAACATGCTAGCAGCGGATGGCAGCGGTGCGTAAGGCCCACATCAAGCAAGGCCGCAGCAAGAGACGCTCTAGAAGCAAAGTGAAGAAAACCCGTCCTCAATAGGTTTAGTCTAGTCTTCTTTCCCATGTCTTCTCCAACAGCGGCTGCTCTTCTCAACCGGCTCTATAGCCCCTACAACGTATAGTCAAGGCCTGAGAAAAAGAAAGTTTTTGCTCCAATGGGGCCTAATGGGCCTATTACTGGCTACCTTTTCGTCCCAAACTCACGCATTTGGCCTTTTGGGAAACAGCAAATACTTGGGTCATGTTGGGTCATCTATCATCCAAATGCCTGGTGACTCCACTGTTTCTCTCTTCAACGCGCATGGTGACCTTCTCTTGGGGTCTATGATCTCAGCTTCATTGAGCCAATCAACCCAAAAAGTCCAGGATGGTGATTGACGTGAAGGAGTGCACTATCACTATAAACCTTCGGCAGACACTGACTGGATCTGCTAGCCGCTAGCCCCAAGGTCTGTGTATGGCGAAAAGCGATCGGTTGAACAAAGCACACCGAGGGTTTCGAATCTTTTGGAGGGGAACTCTCAGATCAGGTAAAGATCTAAGGGACAATGAAATGTATCTTTTGCAAAAAGAGCGATGTGAGCTCAGAACAGTCGGTCTTTGCATCTGGTTCATTCTGTTTCATCTTTCTGCGACATGAAAATATTCGAGTATATTCGAGTGAAACCGACAATGAAACGTGTGAAAAGAATGTGAAACTGAGTGCAATTCACAGCTGAACTTCCTGTTCAGGGTCATCATCCACAACCACGAAATTCTTCGGAGGCGCCATCACTTGCATGGCGGTGGGGTATGAGGCGGGGGGACCACATCCTAGGCCAGCAAGTTTTCTCTTAGGTTGCAAGGACGCTACTAGGGGCTCCTGGCATCGATACTGGGAGCAAGAAGCTACTAGGGGCCCCTGGCTATTAGGCGCTCCTGGCATCGCTACTATAGGAGCAAGAAGCTACTAGGGGCTGCTGGCATCGCTACTATAGGAGCAAGAAGCTACTAGGGGCTCCTGGCATCGCTACTAGGAGCAAGAAGCTACTAG